CCTGAATCAAGAAAATAAGCAAGCAAGATGCTCTTTTTTAATAACCTGTTCTTACACTAGAAAGAGTGTTTGAAGAAAGCAGAATCCTAGAAGGCTATGTACGCTCTATATTGCAAATTGCATACCCAAGTCCCTCTTGATAGATGACTCTAACCATTCAGGGGATTTGCGTCTCAAAATCACAAAGAATAGAGTGGTGAAATCACAAATACTGGTTAGAAATTCAAGTTCTTCATGAGTCACACAAAACCTTCAGGTGACAGATGACGAAGAATAATTTCCCAAATTCACGTTTCACAGAAAATAAAATCAGCTAATCACGCATCACGAATTTACCCCTGTGCGACCAGCTCTTTAGCCATGTCCTTAGACTGTGCAGACCTACGTTTTCCATCTATCATTTTTATATTGGAGAGGTAGTTTCCCCACCCAAGGCTGACTAATTTTCACTTTTCTCCAAAAATTTATGTTATTTCAGCAGTACATTTTACAAGTAAACAAATACATGTACAGTTGTTTTGCCAAACAATTATTCTTCCACTTCGCAGGAAAAACTGTCTTACTTTGTGGTGTTTATTGTCTGTTTACATGTGGTTTTGCATCTGAAGCACCATTACCAAGGCAGAGGCTCATTTGCATATCCAGTGACTTTTCTTCAACAAATTAATTCAATTTTGTTCTTCCTATGTGTATGTTAAATTATAAATGAACTTTAGTTGTATCTAAGACGATTGAGATTTTTTCCAGGCTCATATTTCCACATGTATCTTCAGTAAAATTTAACATCATTGCTAGATGAGGGAAATGTGAGTAATTATGTAAATGTTACATCTAAGTCAAATCCCTCTGCTTAGAATTGGTTTGTCTTTTGGCCTGTACCTGCATTAAGTCGAAATTTCAAGCCCTTATCTAAGCATTTTAGGATGGCATTCAATAATCTTTAAATTGGTTATACTATAAACTAGACTTTTTCAACTGAGGTAATTTTCATCTAGTTTTTTAATTATCAGTTTTCAGAGCCTGTACCTAAACTAATTACTTTTATTTTTTAATTGTAAGCACCAAAATATTTGACAGCTGTTACAGCTGTTGGAATTTCCAGTGTCTTTTTTGATATACAGTATAGACTGTATTATATTTCTTGTGTCTATGTTAGTCTAATAATATTTTTTTGTGTAGATGTGTACATTAATTTTGTCTATAAAATGCAAACATTTCAAAAAGTCCTCCCGCAGTTATGAAAATGTATAGACCTAAACCTCTTAAAGAGCCAGCCAATCTCTTTTGTGCACCCTTGTTATTACTTTGCATTTGTAATAATTATTTATGAGCACTTCACAATCAGTTCTTAAGTTATACCTTAACCTCTGAAATTTTGATTTTGGGTGATAATTTGTTTTCTAAGGAAATTTTTTAGCCAAGTAACCTTGTACAATATGTTCTAAAATTAATGTGTTTCCAAAGGTGTGCATCTATTACACGTGTACTGTAGCGTGAACGTCTGAAAGTATTGACTGTTACATGTAGTACAAACATGCATACACTTTTCGCTAGAGCTCTATCTTTTCCTGTTACTTACAGAGCACTAATTGTTTTGAATTTTATTGATATTTATGAAGTTATTTTTGTGAATTTGTAACAGACCAGTTTTCATATTTTCAGTTTTAGACTGGAGCTTAGCTTGCAATGGAGGTTCATATGGGAGATAATCATTAAAATTGCTTTTGAAAAAACCCTCTGCTGTAGCCTCAGTTGTAATTTAGTTCCAGTCCAATACAGAGAATTCAAAAGTGGTCTATTGTCAGTTAATAAGTAAGGTTAGGAAAGATAGTGACAACAGTTAGTTATTGTCAGTGTACCTACATGTACATGTACATAACCTGTACTCGGTATTAACTTTGAGGCAAATACACAGATTTCATATACTGCTTTTCTAAGATAAACCCCAGAATTTCAACCAATTCAACAAGTACTCCCGCAAGTGTAGTAGAACGGGTTGGATTAGCTTTGTGGCGGAGGAGTTCAAGAAAAATTGGCGTATCTTAGACAAGGGATATAAAACAGAACTTGTATTAAATTGAGGTCGTGATTATTATCAGTCACAGATGAGTGTCTATTAATGTCACACTTGCACACAAAATTAAAATACTAAGCAAGGTCGTTGACAACAGGAATTCTTGCTTGTTTGCTTACATGCAAGACTAAATTTTAGGGCTCTAGATGATTGGTACTTCAGTAATAACAGTTTCATTGGATAAGTGCACTATCAAGGAAGGTTTTGACCTTACTTGAGAGTGCACTTCGGCCCTTTGATGGTTTTAGGTTTCCGTGGCTACTAAGTGCAATCAGTCAAGTGAAATAATACCAGTTCACACACAATTCACCTCAAGTACACTTGAATGTCCAGTGTGAACCCACCTATTGTCTAGCTATCCATTCTCATCAGTCGAAACTTTTCATCCGTTATAGATCATGACAGTGGGGATTCTAGTTTACATTTTGGAGTACGAGTAGAGGGCATTGATGAGCTGATGTCAAATACCAAATTTTCAAGGCAGGAGTTACAAAGAATGTACAGAGGGTTTAAAAATGTAGGTGTGAAGGCAGTATAATATGTTAAATAGTTGATGGTAACAAGGCGATTTATTTTAATAACAAGTAACATGTTGCACAACATGTAATTCTGAAAATTGACCTGATTTGTAAAAATCTGTAGCTGTGTAAGATTTTGTAAATAAGGCCAAGTTTTACCTTTGCAATGCAAATTTAGAAAGTCAAAGTATCAAACCAACAAATTGAGGAATGTAAATTGGCGCAAATAAATGAGCAAACTAATGGGGTTTAAAAATCCTTCCACATAAATTAATCTTCTGTTTAATATATCTATCTTTTCTTTAATATAATTAGACTATTAATCATAACCAAATATTCAATTTTGTACATGTAGCACACTTCAGATTAAAACTGTTACACTTAGTTGAGTACTCTTTCTATGCAAGGTATTAAATAAATTCGCGTCTATTATTGGACAGAACCTATGTAGTTGATTTATTTATTTCTATTGACAAAATAATTTACAATCATGCACAAGGTTTTTCAAAGCCTTTAAATGAAATGCTATCTGTAAAAATACTTCTGTAAACTAACAAGCAGCCACTTACCACCTCTTCAGATGAGCTAGTGGACATCTCTTGTTGTTATTGTGAGCTTACAGATGTACATATGAAAACAAACCCTCATAAGACAAACATTTAGGCATCGAATGATAGGTTTTGATGTCTGATAATTATCTTTTAACTAAAGCTACACTGTAACTTGCATCACACAAATACTCTCTTGAAAGGTACATTGTACAGCTAAAATGAAATAAAACAGGGCTAGTAGTTTATCCAATCCATATAATGATCCTGAACTCTAACTGGAAGAAAAATGGAAGAAAAATAAGGGGGCTCCTCTTCCTGGCAGAATGGATGCATTGAAACAAAAGTGTCCAATAATAGGTACAAATACATGTTCCTTATATCCTTGGTGAAAATCTTTCACAGATCTATAAAGATCTCTATGATGATCTTAATCAAGATCCTTAAGAATTGTAGCAAAGGACGTTTAAGGATCTTTATAGTTGTTACCAGAATCTTTGAAGATTCTTCCGAAGATTCTTTTTTCAAGGATCTGTGGTAGGCCTTTTAAGATCTTGTAAGAATGATTCTCTAAGATCCTGTATGGTTAGTTATTAATAGGGCTTTTCTGTGGTCTACAGTGATGTATGCCACGTCCTTGTTTAGTTACTATTTAATGAAAAAATCTAATCATTTAATATGTAGTAATATTTAGTACCAAGTCGTTTAAGTGCTACTTACATGTATGATCAAAGTTTTACCCCTTGAATTTTTAGGTGTAATATGTGGATTTAACTGAGCCCAAAAGCTAAGCTCTTGGGTGGGGTTGGTCAAAGCCCGATTAAGCTAACCCAGGAAAAAGCAGAATTTTGATGGAAGTTCACCAAAATAAATATCTGCATTAGTTCTGGGGATACTTGAGTTTGAAAATGTATGAAATATGCAAATGAGAGAACTGATGATGTCACACACTCAACCTAATATTACATCAAGTTTATAGATACATGTACAGTAGTTAAAATAAGATCACCATGATGGTCAATTTGCAGCGGAGACCATTGAAACTTGGTACACTGATAGTTCTACAGGCAACACACCTATGGCTAATATATAGATTTAGCCAAGTCTAAAAGCGGAGCTCCTTGGCTGGGTTGTTTAAAGCCTAGTTAATATAACCCAGGTTAAGCGAGAATTTTGATTTTAGTTTTGTAACTTTGCAATGAGGTTTTCTCTATATTGTGTGGCCTTCTGTTTTGAGTTTGAATAATCTCAAAATACACAAAACAAAACATTTGACCTTATACAATAAATGTTTATACTTCTGTTAACTTTTAATCCTGGGTTAGTGTCAACTGGCTTCCAAATAACCCCACCCATTTACAACAAGTTAACCTGACATGAGCCTGTGTTCCAATAGAAAACCAGATCTTGGTCAGCAGTCAACTTCAAAAAACCACATTACCTTGATGAGCTCAAAACTTGAGCCCACGATGTGGTCAGGTGATACTGGTCAGCAGATACCATGTTTTGACAGGTGTCAATTGACCATAACATGGATGTCCAATATCAAAGAAGGAGGCTATAAATCAAGGCTGCGTGCCTCTGTTAACCCTTTAACTGGAGTATGACCACCATCTTGTGCACCTCCGTCATCGTTGTCATCGTTTGTACGCGCCCACGAGTAATACTGCTAGCCATGATAACCATGAGAAAATCAATTCATGGGTTTCCTTTAATTCCTTCCTATATGGGTATGGGGCTCTGCTTGGCAGCCCTTTGGGCTGCCGGAGATCCGCTATAAGCCGTAATGTTCGCAAGGCAACTCAAATTTTTCAAGTCCCTGCCAACCTGATTTTTATATTTTAGTGATTCTCAGTTTGGAAAACATTAAACAAGGCCACGAACTCAACCTTTCATATTTATAGATAATACAGATGTCAGGCTCCATTGGCAGATATCAAAATGAAACACCAAAGGTGACCAGACAAGCCTTTAATATTGGGGAGGTCTTGGAACCCAGTATGTTGCCATGGTAACAAAACTGTTTAAACTCATTGTGGAGCACATCTTGACTGGTAGAATTGTACTGCAAAGAACCAAACATTTCTGATACAAATTGGCTGAGATATCTTTGTTCATCATAGTTGATCAAAATTTGGTTGAGTTTATGACATCATCACTTGGCTAGTTTGCATGTTTTGAAAACTTGAATATCTCTGGAATGAAAAGAGATATCTGAAAATAGTAAACAGCATTTTTCTTCTCATACAGACTATTTTTTATGTTTTATAATGGTTTACATATGAAAGATGAGATTTCATGATAGTTACATAGGACTTTGAATGTATTGCTAGTACTGAAATACAATTTAAACTAAAATTCTTCATTAAACCTACATTTATTAAAGAACGTAACTACTTCTCCATGATGATTGATACATTATTTTATATTGTCAGGAATGCCCCAATGGAACAGTTGACAAAGACACATTTAAAAAAATCTATGCCCAGTTTTTCCCTTATGGAGGTAAACAATGATCTAATGAACAATACTGATTGATATGAAATTATTTGTTATTTATGGTTTAAGTTTTGACTTTTTATTTACAGAACCAGAATATTTTGTGGAAAAATAGTACAACAGGAAATAATATGTGACTGAACTGCACAAAATGTGTTACATTGAAAACAATATCAAAGTACAAAATTATGCATAAAATACTGTTTTCAATAGTACTTGCCTTTCTTTTGTGCATAATTGTACCATGTACTGTGACATTTGTGTAATGTTATTAACTAGTACTGATGTTTTTTTATTGTCGACACTATTTTGTTACCTTATTGTGTAATATGACTTTTAGTGCAAGCTCATTCATTTGCATATTTTAACTGATTCATAATCTGTTTTTCTGCCTAGATTCAAGTCTCTATGCAAATCATGTCTTCAATGTGTTTGACCATGATAGAGATGGAAAAGTTTCTTTTGAGGTGATTTTTTCCTTAAGATTAACATGTTTAAATGACCTTCATTTGCATACATTATGTTAAAATACACATTTAAAAACATTGGAAATGACGAAATTTGTTTATCTACAAAAGGGATGGTGTTAACCTGAGATGAGATTACATTATGATTGTACTAGATATAAATGTACATGGGGCTTATAAAGGTTTTGAGCAGGATGGTAGACTAGTCAGGGCAACTTGTTATTTGAAAAAAGAAAGTCAGCAGAGTTATTGAAAACAGCTGAGTAGGTAGTCACTTTGCCCAATGCTCCTGTTCTAAAAACTCTTGTGTGGTATTCATGTTGTGGTTTGTAGTATTTAGAGGCCAGTGTTAGAGCAAGTAGCCTGTCAGTCTGCTCCTTGTCTCTAGTTTCTGTATATTGTAGAAGCCACTAATAGTATTTCTACTCCTCTTTGGATGTGATGCTTGTCCACTGTAGCATTACCCCTAGAGAGAGGTACTGTGGGAGTAATTATTAATAATTATTTGAGTGTCTTGAGCTCAAACATATACTGGACAATTTTTAAATTTGTTTTGGTAAACTTTAGAAGTCATTGTTTTACAATTTAGTTCTAAAGCTTCTGGATAACCTTTCTGTATTTCGTACATTTTTAAGAATGTAAAGGTTTTTAAAATATGTTCTGTACATGTATTTCGTTTTTCCAGGACTTTGTCACTGGTCTGTCTTTATCACTTTATGGCAGTAGAGAGGAAAAAATGAAATGGGCATTCCAGTTGTATGATTTGGATGGCGATGGCTGTATAACAAGAGAGGTTTGTTAGAAAATAACTGAACCATGATAACACATTGTGAAATTCTGTGTAGCATCCCTTTGCCATGTAGCTCAGTTCTGAGATGTATTCGTAATGCACGAAGTAATATGTATGTACTATAAACGTGTATGTTTATTATTAATAATTTATTAAAACAGTCCCCTTTTCAGACAACAATAGGCTCTTCTTTTGTTTACCATGGGCTGTTTTGGGGGCAATTCTTTTGGATTTTCATATTGTAAGATTTTTATTTACATACATTTGTAAAAACTAGTGTTTCAATTTATTACTACATCTTTCAGGAGATGGCTACAGTAGTTCACTCAGTTCACTGTATGATGGGGCTTGATTCACTGCCAGCAACAGCTGGAACAGAGATGAGTGTTGAGGAACAAGTGAATAGACTCTTTATGGTAAGGAATTAACATTGCTTAAAGTACATGCATGGAAGTCAGTTTAGTGTAACACACTTAGTTAAGTATTCCGACCCTCTTTGTTCACATGGTGTGCAAATGGAGCAGTCTGGCGAGAACTACAGGAAACTTAATTTAGTCCCCAATCAGTTGTTACTGGCTCTTGATACCTTGTAAATATGTATAGGTAAATAAATATAAAGATGTAAAGACAGAAGGTAAATGTAACTCGAGTTTCACGCACTAAGCGATTGTCACACTCTATATTTTAACTTTTTTAAGGTGAAACATCACAGGGTTAGCTTTTGTTTCTTCCTTTTCAAGATGTATTTTAAAAGATCGTTTTATCTTTTTTGCTAAGTATCTCAAATAAAACATTTTAAAACTGCTTGTAATTTATTTCAAAATATACACTTCACTGGCTCTCGGGAGACAAGACTCTCGCCTCTTGAGACAAGACTCTTGTCTTGAGAGACGAGAGTCTTGTCTCGACGAGAGATAGGAGGTGGTAACTTACTTTTTAGCAGCACTGTACATTTACGTGCATTTTACTTAACACGAAATTTGTCTAGGATTCTTTCTGACAAGTCATATCATACAATTGTAGCCTTATGAAGAAGCATGAGTGGCTGAAGTGTTATCATTAGCAAATTAATTAAACAGTACACTATTTTAATGTACACCGTAGGACTACAAAGAGTGCTGCATTGAAATGAAATAATGCGTATACATATCTTGATATTCAGTATTTAGATTTAAAAAGTTATGTTTAAAAAAGGACAATGGGATAGGAATAGGCAGTGAGCTGATAGACTCGTCTCTTGTTACTCTTTCCTAAACAGTGCTTTTATATTGACATAGTTACTTTACATTTATTTTTCTTGCAGTTGATGGACACGAATAACGATGGTGTTATATCTGAAGAGGAATTCTTAGAGGGGTGTGAAAAGGTTAGAAAACTGAAGGATAAGTTCTGTAACTATTTAAAAATCTAGTGAAGTCAAATGTTGTGCTTGTGAGGGAAAATTGTATTTTTTTCAGTATTTCAATGCATGAAGGCACTTCGCATTCTTTAACTGATTGTGCTGTATTGATGTAACTCTACATGTACCAGTGCTATGAAACCGAATGATTCTGCTGTGGTCACCTTTGTAATTAATTAAGCCTGGCCAATCTTTAAACAGGTATCCCCTCTGTGTGATTGTGCATAGATACCTGAACTGATGTAAAACTTGAGAATACATGTATCTCATTTTATAGGCTTGTAGCTAATGATGTAAAACTCAAAATAAATTAAGATGTTTATCAAATTGATTCTTCTTAACATGGTTAATGTATAAAATAGCCAAATATCTAGTAACCTAAAGAGCATTTTAACACAAATTATAATTGACCAGTATAAATTACCGTGAACTGTACCTTGCAAAATACATGCACAATACGTATTACATTAACTGAAAAACATCCATCCAAAATTGTGACAAATGAATTTTGAAAGTTTCCGAAAAAGTTACGTATTACAATTTAATTTTAATAAACAGTACTTATTTTTTTGGGCAAAATATTTTAAGAATGAAAAGCAGCGATATTAAAGAATGACGTTTCGACGGCTCCATGCTATGATTCTCAAATTCAAATAAGATACGTTATGTGAGTTCGTTATATAGTGAATGTACAGTCACTGATGTTTTCCAGTTTGCCGATGAGATCAAGGCGATGCGATTTAGTGAGCATGATATTTTAATATCATATGACGTATCTTCGCTCTTCACGAACGTGCCTCTAGAAGAAACAATACAGATCTTGCTAACAAAGTTTTTACTGAGGATTGGTTCAATGTGACATACAACCTGAACATCAGCCGAGATGATCTCGTTGTCCTTCTAAGAGTGGCTACCAAACACCAACTTTTCCAGTTTAATGGCAGCCTCTACGAACAAATAGATGGCGTGGCGATGGGATCACCACTGGGACCGCTCATGGCAAATACATTCATGTGTTCCATCGAGGAGAAGCTTAAAAGGGAGAATAAACTACCCTATTTCTACAGAAGGTACGTGGATGACACCTTAGCCGCGGTGCAGGACATTCCAACTGCTACAGCTTTTCTTGCAACGCTGAACAAAGCACACCCTTCAATCAACTTTACGATGGAAGTAGCAATCAATGACAAACTTTCATCGGAATGGAACTCATGAAGATGGGTAGCCAAGTTAGAACATGCGTCTGCAGGAAAACAACAGATACATGAAAGGCCTTCTTCTCCATTACCAAAGCCATGTAGATAACAGATATAAACGATCTCTTCTCACGACTGTGTTAAATCGTGCATATAGACTCTCATCTT